TCCTATTATCATTTATTATTATCACACAGACTAACACATGTATTATCACATGCATGCACACTATTCATTATCACATGCATGCACACTACCTTATAGTCTTGCATGCCTACAAGATTCTCTGCACGACAAGACTACACTTTGCATGACTACACTATTAGCCTTGCAGGATATTGTTTTACACATGCCTACACTATTAGTCTTGCAGGATATTGTTTTACACGCTTTCTTACTAAAAGATGTCCATGTTATATTGTTTTGAAAAAATGTTATTTAGAAAACTCAACACAACATAAATTACAAAACGATTTTTAGTTGTAAGAAAGTTATGAAATTAAATGAATAGATAAATATGTGATCATATCTTTAATAGTTATTTACAAAACTCAACACAAGAATCTTTAATATGTAATAATATCTTTAATAGTTATTTACAAAACTCAACACAAGAATCTTGTAATATGTGATCATATCTTTAATAGTTATTTACAAAATATGTGATCATATCTTGCATGCCTCATGTGACTCTCTACATGACAAGGCTACATTCTGCATGACCAAGAATCTTGTAATACAACACTTGCACGCTTCCTTGCACAAAGTTCATCATGTTTCAGCAAGCATTAATAGTCTTGCAGGACTACACTTTAAAAACAACACTTTTAAGACTACACTATATTCTACATGTATGACACCACTGCACTCTAGCAAAAATTATATTTAACATGCAATGGCTTCACATGCATGACAAGAATACACTCTACCAATCAATGACTGCAAGATCCTCCACATAACAATGACCAAGAATCTTGTAAGACAACACTTGCACGCTTCCTTGCACCATTGTCATCATGTTTCAGCATGCATAAATAGCGGTAGTTGTCACATGCCTACACTATTACCCTTACAGGACTACACTTTCAAAACTATATTTTTAAGACTACACTATACAGTGCATGCATGACAATACTACACTCTAGCAAAAATTATATTTCACGTGCAATGACTTCACATAAAATAGCTTCACGTGCATGACAAGACTACACTCTATCAATCAATGACTGCAAGATTCTTTGCATAACAATGACCAAGAATCTTGTAAGACAAAACTTGCACGCTTCCTTGCACCATTTTCATCATGTTTCAACATGCATTAATAGTGGTAGTTCTCACATGCCTACACTATTACCCTTGTAGGAATACACTTTCAAAACTACACTTTTAAGATTACACTATACTCTGCATGCATGACAAGACTACACTTTTAGCAAAAATCATTTTTCACATGCAATACAAGACTACACTCTATCAATCAATGACTACAAGATTCTCAGTATAACAACGACCAAAAATCTTGTATGACAACACTTGCACACTTCCTTGTACCATTGTCATCATGTTTCAGCATGCATTTTCATGTGACTCATCTCATCACATTTAACCATTATAAATACATGTTCATCAAGGAACAAACTCTTCTCATCACATATACAAACTCTACTCTTCAAACTTTCAGCAAACTCTTCTCATCACTTATCAAACTCAACTCACAATGTCTCTGCTCACAATGGGCAACGATCACAGAGGAACAATTGAGAACATCGCAGAGTTTGTAAGTATTTTGTTTTTTTTGTCATTCCTTACTAAGTTGAATTTGTCTTTAAAACTAATTCTATTTATATTCTTTGGCAGAATGTATCAAGGTTTCGATGTCGTGTGCATGACTACATACCACACGACCTATTCATAGAAGGATACTTAGAAGCATGTGAGTTTGGTGATTTGATAAAAATCAAATCGTACTCACTGGATCCCAAATTTATTATAGCGTTGCTAGAACGTTAAAGACCAGAGACCCACACATTTCACCTTTCTTTCGGTGAATGTACTATCACTTTACAAGATGTCTACATATTACTTGGCCTACACATCAATGGTAAGGCCGTCAACGACAAAGTTGGTGTTAATGACCAACTTTGAGAAGATTTATTGGGCGCCCCTCTATGTGTCGAAACACCTTAGCCACAACATGAAGGTCGACCGAGGGAGCAAGTTATTAATTTGAAATACCTAAGAGAACACTACAATAGTATTGTGTTAAATGAGAAATTCACTGAGTATGAGAAGATACTTAAAACTCGATGCTATATTATGATATTATTCGGTCATTTTTTATTTCCAAAAAGTATTGAAAATAGTGTAAATATTATGTATTTACCATTGTTGCATAACATTAATAAAGTGTGCACATATAGTTGGGGTTCAACTGCCCTCACCCATCTATATAATTCATTATGTGAAAATTCAAAAAATAATTCTTGTACTTTTTATGGTTGCGCCTATCTCCTTCAAGTGTGGGGTTAGTCTAGAATGCCAACACTAGCTCCTATCATCTGGAATCCATTCATATTCCCCTACGCTAACAAATAAGTTTATTTTCAAAACGTGTATACCAACAATGTTTCTTTGTAACTAATTTGTGAAATGTTTCTTTGTAACTAATTTATTTGTGTCTCTTTTTTTTAGGTGGTCTGTTCCGAGAATGAATTACCAAAGATGTCCTAGGAACTCAATAATCGTCTACTGCAACCTTATAGAACACATTGGGTCAGACGACGTAATTTATCTACTAACGATGTATCATTACTTTGTCTATTTAATAACCACATCCTTGTTTTTCTCATTAAATATATTGTTAATGTAGTTTGTCTAGATGTTGTACGAGGGTCTCGACCATCAGCCCAACGCCAATAATGTTGTCGTGCGGACAGTTAAACCACCTATCATTCGATTCACTATAGTGGAGATGCACCAAAGTGATCAGGTGAAACTGCAGTTCGGGATGCATCAGGATATTCCAGTCGCTCCGACATCTTTGGGAGACTGACATCAACTTAGGATGGATATACAATGAAGTGTAAATCATTGGAAGGACTTTGCAAAAGAGATGTGTCTGCATTGGAAGAACCGACATAGACACATCTTAACCGACCCTACTGTGGAAGGGGCTAGACCAAGTTATCAATATATGATTTGGTTTAGGTCGGTTACAACATCACAATAATTTGTGTCTGAGCCGACATATTTGATTGACCCAAGACAACGTGCTTCTTTCTCAAACACACAACAACAACCCAATGCCCAACATCAAACACCGTGCTATACCCAACATCAAACTATGCTCACCCAATCAATCTTCCAAAATCGCAACTCATAGATGCCACAAACCCAATCACAACAACAAGAGCCTTACCTATACCTCCAGCCTCCCGGAACCTACATCACTTCTGCCTATAGTCCTGGTAACTCTTTCAAGCCTATCCCATCCACCTATAGCCCTGATAACTCTTTCGACCCCACACCAGCCAACTATAGCCCCCACGAATGAACACACAATCTTTCTACCATCAAAATACTTATTCACTTTTTGATTACCAAACCCCACAACAACCATTGCATCATTTCTAAACTGATTCGACAATTCGGTCAACCATATCGTCCACATCTGACCCAATCTCCCTGTCCCAACTACGAAAACATGAGCATTGAACTGAATTACGGAAGCACAGTTGGCAGCAACCCCCGACTATTGAGGTCAAATGCTTCAAAATTTATCTGATACGTTAGGGTCATCTCAACAAATACCTCTTCCACAGGTCAACACGCAAATGCCACATACACCTCAACAAGCTCGTGGTAAACCTCGACGCTGCGCGAATCCTGCTCAATGTGGACGAAATGTCATTTTGATAGAGCCGATCATTAATTTTCCTTTTTTCATCTATTGTACACTATTTTCGTTTTTTTATATTATAAATATTATAATTTTTTTTTGTTATTTATTTTTTAAAAACACAATATTAATTAATATAAAAAAATAGGACAACTGAGGTGTCATATGGTATGATGCCTCTGAAATTCAAGGGCATCCATACAAAGATGGCGCCATATGGGATGATGATATGGTATATGGTTTTATGCATTAACGATTTCATACAACGCCTCATCGTTGAATTATAACCATTTTTAAAATTTCTTTGAATTTCCTATAATATTTGTATATTTTTTTTGAAAAAATATGTTTTATTGAAAAAAAAATTCTACTTTTCTCATACTTTCTCTTTTTATATTCTTTGTCATCTTTTTTCTCTCTTTTTTTTTTTTTTTTTCTGACCAATTTAAATGCAATGACTACTTTTTACTAAATTAGATAAATTAAAAAAATGGAGGGTACCCAAGAGCGATGGCAAAGATGTTTTTTAGTTTAACGAGACGGGCAGATGATACTCGATTTAAAAAATAAAATAAAAATGCAGGGTTAAATATCACTGCAGACAATCTGTTCCCGTGAGTGGGCCTCTTATGAGACTGAGACCAATACGAGCCTAGTGTAGTCCGGAACAATAGTCGATCCAGTCCTTCTTGCTAGCAACTATTCATGTAATAGGAAGAGAGTGGCTAACAAGTACAAACAGGTAACTGGTAGATAAAAACGCACTCCACACATGAGCGGTAAAAAGTGAACTTTGGCGTCAACGATCTCAAGTAAATAAAGTAAATGGATAAAAGCTCTCCGTACTAAGCAATCTCTGGCAATGCTCATTGTCACCTCAAATCAGAAACAGTGTGCGAGTAAAGTCAAAATCGATTCATTTATGGGACGTTTCTTCCCACCAGACCCCATCACCTCAACCCTTTTTGGTTCGTGCTACACACATTGTTTTTTTCTTTTCCTCCCCCTCTTTCTAATTAACGGTACTTTTTAAAATCGAATCTTACCCTTCATTGACGTGTACCATCCTGATTTCACGCTTTTTTTAAGGTCTATTATCTAGCCTAGACTCTGCCTCAATGCCTCATCCATTGGAATACGTAAAATAATATTAAAATAATTATTCATCATTTATTACTACTCCTATTAACTTTATATTAGACCTTTTTATTCTTATTCATGCATCCAACATTCTGGTATGCAACATTCTTCACCCGCACCCGGTTTTGCCATGGACATTCGTTCACACAGAGGTGGTAGAGAAACCAGTCCAGACCGTGCCAAAATATGTAGGATGAAGCAGAAAGCGAAAGCCATTAGAAAAGTACAAGTTGTGTATTATCTCTCACGAAATGGCCTATTAGAGCATCCACATTTCATGGAAGTTATCCTCTCTCACAATCAACCTCTCCGTTTGAAAGATGTATTTGATCGCCTCATGGCTCTGAGAGGGAGTGGCATGCCTTCTCAATATTCATGGTCTACTAAAAGGTAAACTTTACTATAAATTTTTATTTTATTTTTTGCAATAGTTTTATAAAATAGAACATTTGTGGTAAATTAACTTCAGGAACTATAAGAGTGGATATGTGTGGCATGACTTGTCGCTGAAGGACATAATACATCCATCAGAAGGTGGAGCTGAGTATGTTCTCAAAGGATCTGAGCTTGTAGAAGGATTTCAACAACTGAACTTGAGCGAGAAACAATCCATTCCGCCTCAGCAAGAACAAAATTTTACTAGTTACAACAATTCAAAGAGTAAGGTTGCTTTGAGTGGAAGACACCAACCGAAATTAGAGAGTGAAGATCATCCGTACGAAGAATACGAAGAGGAATTGTTAGAGAAAGAGTATGATCATTTAGATGGAGAGAAAACGAGCTATACAAGTTCAACTACAACGCCGCATTCTCGTTGCTCCAGAGGTGTATCAACGGAAGAACTGGATGAGGTAGTTATAACTAATTCCCATAATACCCCGCCACCTCCGAATCCAAATTCCGCTACTACCCTAGCGGAAAAACTGAAACAAAGGGATGAGAGGAGGGTTAACAATGTGATAACAACTAATTACCCGAAACGGTTAGGGAATGAGTCGCTGACGTCAGCGCCAGTACCGCAAAGTCGTTATTCTGTTTTGCTGCAACTGATAGCGTGTGGGAGTTCTGGTGCGGAGATGAAAGCGAAGCAGAATGGGGGAGAGTCGCGGTTGAGTAATGTGGGGACCAGTAAGAGGAGGGAGAGCGTTGATGAGGAGAAGCTGTATTCAGGCGATCATGGTCATCATGGTGATGATGATGACATATGCATGACGGAGAATCCGAGGTTGTTAGGGAATTTGCAATCAGAGGAAAAGGAATACTTCAGTGGGAGCATTGTGGAATCCATGAAAGCGAACCGAGTCGCTTTTCAGGGTGAACCTGTGCTCAAGAAATCCAATTCGTATAATGAAGAAAGGTATGTTTCATTATTATTACTCACTTTTGGTGCATTGTTAATATTATTTTAATTTTATGTTGTACTATATATTTATTTTCATATATGTTTTTCAGAAGAAGCAGGCTAGGGATGGAGGAGTTGCAGTTGAAGGAAACAAAAGAGGGAAAAGGAGGTGTGAGGGAGAAATGCATACCGCTTATAAAATCTTCTAAAGAGAGTAGGAAATGATGGAGATCTGGTCACGTGAATTTGTCTATCAGTTAATTAGGTAGAATTGTAATGAATACTCTATGCTAGTACTAGTAGGAGTTAGATGTTGTTCCATGCATGATTAATTTGTTTTCACTTTCTCATTTGATTTTATTAGTTTTGTTGCTTAATTTACAAAGTAAATTGTGCATTGGAGGCCTTAATGCATGATTAAGTGTATGTTCGGTCCCTTAATTTACAAAGTAAGTGGAACAACACCAAAACATTTATTGGAAATTAAAGAAGTCTCAAAACAGAATGGAAAATGAAAATGGGATGTTTATAAGTTCGAGGTTTTAGTTTATTGGTTTGGGTTTGAATCAAATTAGTTATGGAAATGTCTAATTCAATAGGTTTATTTTGGTAAGAAAATGGTTCTTATTAGTGATGGCAAACAAATCCGGATTCGTTCTAAAATTAATCAATAAAATTTGATTTAATTGGATCTGAATGCGGATGCGAGAGAAATTTGATTTTTAATTACGGATGCGGGTGTAGAAATACACTACGACCCATTCTCTAATTACGGATGCGGATAATGTATTTTATTTTAATTCTCTTATTTTATTTATTTTAGTATTATTTATTAACTATATTTTTAATTAAATTATTAATGTCTTTATTGTAACTAAAATAATTAAATTAATCAAGTTAATATTTATTTATTCATTAAAATTTTAATTAAATAATTAATTAATTAATTAAAATAATTAATATTTATATTAAATTATTAATTTTTATTGTAATAAAAAAATTAAATTTTTGCGTGTGGGATCGGGGCGGGTGCACCCATTCTCCACTGGGACGGGTTTGGACGATAAATTTTTACCTCTGATTAGATTTGGGAGTGGGGGCGGGTGTGTTACATGGAGGCGGGTGCATGTGCGGGTATATGTATAGTTAAATCCGTCTCTACCCCGTCCCGTTGTCATCCCTAGTTCTCATATCAATTTTTAGGTGTATTCATGTTATCGTTAAAAATGTAGGGTTAAAGTGTTTGTTATTGTCGTTAGTTCTCCACTTTTTTTCAAACTTTTTTTTTATAAATCTTCACACCTCTCTCTCTCTCATATGATGTTATGATTTTTGAAAATGTTGCATATAATAATTGCCTTGCAACATATGTCTTTCTGATAACTGTACCCCTCCCATCATAATTGTTCTTTTGCATCTGATCCATGTATCTTCTGGAGGGTCATCTGGTCCCTGTCAATTCCACACTTGAGGTCTAGCTCATCTTGCATAAGATCGGCTTGCCTTAGTTTCATTCGGCCACCTTTCGCCAGAATCCAACTTGGAGGTAGGCAAAAAGCTTGCCGAGTTCATATTTCGGTTAGTCAACATGATTTTTGGGATGTACATAAAATCCCTAGGCACTATGTTCATATAAAGCGTAATGCTCAGATAAATAGTCTCGAAAATGTTCTTTCTGCAGCCATGCTTACGTCAGCTCTTAATGATGACAATATTTTTCTTTCTTTATCATGATGGCTTTATGGGGACTCCCACATTCATCATTATTTCTCACTCCCTTTTTTTCTAGCTGTTACCTTTTAACTTACAAAATTCTAATTTTAGATATTCTCCTAAACACTCCTTCTCTAACGCCTTAATTGATTATCATATCTTTTTTCCAAATTCAAGGTATTACTTTTTCAATTTTATTTGTTATTTTCTTTTATTCATCTTCTTTTATTGTTAGTGCTAGAAATAAGAGCGCCTCAATTGATTCTCATCTTTTTTTAGATTCAAGGTAATATATATATATATATATATATATATATATATATATATATATATATATATATATATATATATATATATATATATATATATATATATATATATATATATATATATATATATATATATATATATATATATATATATATATATATATATTATTTTCTTTTGTTCAACTTCTTTTATTGTTAGTGATAGGAATAAGATCTGAAATGACCATGTATGTGAGTTTGAGTTTTTTTTAAATAAAGAGGGTTTTGATCGAATTCTTAGGGAAGTTTATGGTGAAACTTTTTTGCCCGATAGTAATGCTGATATTGGATCTCCCTCCTCATTTTCTACAGATGTCTAGATCGACGGAACAAGCTCCTTTATAAATAAAGAGGTTTTGAGTTACGATCATAGCATCATCGACTAAAGCTACATCTCGAAGCTTCGTTCTGTTGCTATAGTTTCTTCAACTAGAAATGAAGAGGATGTTGCGATTGAACCCTGTATTATGGGTGAAATGGTTTGCAATGCCCGTCCTAGCATGGAACAGAAAGAATATTTTTATTTTTACTCGTGAGTCATTGAAGACTTTAAAATCTGGATTTCTTTTATGGATTTTGAGGGTGACCTTCTCAAAACTCTAAACATAGCTCCGTCCCAGCTACGTCCTAACAGTTGGGGTTTTATTAAAGCATTTGACATCGTCTGTGACAGCGTAAGTATAATTGTGATGTTAGGGTTATTCTTTTCCTTTTTCGAGTTGAAAGCTGTAGAAAAAGGGGGTTAGGTATCCCTTAGTGGTATCCCGGTGAAGAGTTTCTTGCAGGCGTACACCACTAACTACAAGAGTTTCAAAGATAAGTTTCTTCGTGTCTGGAAGAAAGTTATCTTTGGATTATCTTGCTTTCATAAAACCTCAATTGTTTTTTCTTACTAGCTTGATTTCTTGTGTTTCAACTAAAATGACCAACCTCAAACTTTCCAAGCAGAAAAAAATGGATGGCCGATCTCTAAAAAGAAATAAACCCAACGTTGTTAAGTTGATATTTGCTTTATCGAAGCCCCAACCTTCTACTACTCCGACTTCAAAAGGCCTTAATCCTCATTCTCCCATGAAAATGAAAACATTAATGAGTGATGACGTCAGTTAAGCTAACCTCACCATCACTGCCCTTATGCAGGGTCAAACAACGACAACAACCATCAATCTCATTCTCATCTGAGTTCAAGTTTTGGTCCAACAATTTTGACGGGCTGAGGTGTCTTTATGATAACCTGAATGCTAATGAAGACGTGGAGAAGGTGAAATCTATTGGTGACCAGCAGTTAACTCAGAACTTAGGGGCCTACCTAATGATATGTGTGGTGATGACCTGAGGTTTATTCGAAGTGAATGAGGCGCACAAAAAGAATGAGGCTCTCCTTTCTAGGGAAGTGGTTCAACTGACTGTCGATTTAAAGGCTCGATCTTGTAAGGTCGAGGAGTTAATCGGGAAACTATAGAAGTAAATAAAAAGAGATAGACTTTGGTGTCCCAATTGCAGGAACAAGTTACGCAGAAAGGGATTGTTGATTCTCGGTGTTTGGAGTTGGAGGAATCCAACGCCGGTTTTCTTCTTGAACTTTTGTTTCTTTATTGAATGCTTGCACCCTCAGGGAAATATTTTTGAATTTATGCAAATGTTATTATGTTGTATGGATTATTTTGTTATCACCGTTTTATATTGGGAATACAACATCATAAATTGCTTTAGGTTCGTGGCCTGATGTTTATTAAGGTAGTCTGTATCTAACTGATTTCACCAGAAGCATCAAAATGCTTAGATTTTTGCTAGAGACATCAAGTGTGCATAACTCGGACAAAGCTGATTCTCCAAAGGTAAATTAACTTGGACTTTGGTCAGAAGGTTTAAGTATGCATAACTCAGACATAGTCGATTTTCCAGAGGTAAATTAACTTGGACTTTTGTCAGAGGCTTCAAGTGTGCATAACCCAGACAAAGCCGATTTTCCAGAGGTAAATTAAATTGGACTTTGATCAGAGGCTTCAAGTATGCATAACTCGGACAAAGCCGATTTTCCAGAGGTAAAATAACTTGGACTTTGGTCAGAGGCTTCAAGTATGCATAACCCGGACAAAATCGATTTCCAGAGGTAAATTAACTTGGACTTTAGTCAGAGGCTTCAAGTATGCATAACCTGGACAAAGCCTACTTTTTAGAGGTAAATTAACTTGGACTTTGGTCAGAGGCTTCAACTATGCATAACCCGAACAAAGCCGATTTTTTAGAGGTAAATTAACTTGGATTTTCGTCAGAGGCTTCAAGTAAGCATAACCCGAACAAAGCCGATTTTCCAGAGGTAAACTAAATTGGACTTTAGTCAGAGGATTTAAGTATGCATAACCTGGACAAAGCCGATTTTCCAGAGGTAAATTAACTTGGAATTTGGTCATATGGTTCAACTGCGCATATCTCGTACAAGCCGATTTACCTGATCAGATTACATCTTAGGACTGTTGCACCCTAAAATTTGACCAACCGGGTCCCGTATCTGGCTTAAGTTTCGACGCATTTTCGCATTCGCATTCGCATACCGCATACAGTGCATTTTTCCATTCATGGTGATTTTATCGGGATTACAACCCTATTTTCACATTTCAGGTGTTTCAGACCGATTCAGATAATCGGAGTTTCATTTTCGGGAAATTTGGGCGCTCCTCGGCGTTTTCGGCTTATACTGCTGTTTTGAGGGTATTTTGATGCCCAGAGTTTACCATTTATTTCAGTCCGGTCTCGTGTTGGAGTTATTTTCTTTAATAGCATTTTTTAGGATTGTATAGAATTTTTCTAGAATTAATATAGGTTTTAATTAGTTTTAGTTTTAATAGAATAGATTTTATTTTTAAACAGAATTAATAGTTTTTAATATAGGATATTCTAGATTTAAATAGTTTAGATATAAATTTTTACAGAATGTAACTAGATATTATTAGGTTAATTGAATAGTTTTGTTAAATAGATTTTATAGTTAATTAGGTGTTAGTTAATTAGGTGTTAATTGATTTTCGTTTTGTTTTAGTCTTAATCATTTTCATTTTTTCATTAATCATCATTCATTAATTTTAGTTCAGTATTAGTCTTTCCATTAATCATCCGTTAATCCATTGTAATTCACGTTAATCATATTGTTTTAGTCTGCATTAGTAACGTTGGGCCATTATCCAATTATCCATATTCAGAAAA